AAAAAAAAAAAATGGGGGCCGTGCATCCAACCCAAGATATCTATCCCATCCCGCAACACAAAAAAAAATATCATCACCAACACCAAAAAGATTGGACGAGTAGGGGATCGAACCCTAGACCTCCCGCATGCAAAGCGGGCGCTCTACCACTGAACCTAAACCCCGAAATTAGCTTTTTGAATGGTTGTTGAAAGGATGAGAATACGTACTACACGCCCTGAGATTGGTTGATTGGAAGTTGCCAAATTTAATTTAATCAATAATCTTTTAGAAAAACTTTTTGCACACGTACCTTGGCAAACCACCAGAAGCAGGCTACCAAGGATCGTTCGGTTGGGCATTAGTCAGTATCGCTTACTGGAACAAGGCGGCGCTCTCAATCATCTTGATTCCGAGCCTGGCAGCTGGGCCTGATGATTTGGTGTCCCCAGCGAAGGTGTTAGAATGGGCACCATTGGGGACGTATTCAATATTGGCTCGATCGTCTTTTACAAGTCCCGGTCTTTTGCGGTGGTACAGCTATCCCTTCCACAGGTGGGTATCCTATTGGGCTGTGCGCAGAACATCAAACCTCCAGTATTAGAAGTACGCTTGAGCTATAATCCTATTAGCTCACTCTTATCGATAACCGTAGGACGCAAACCACCAGTAGAATGAATAAGCGATGATGGTCACCGTGGATATTGACTGGAATAAAACTGCCTAATATGTAACATACATGTGCTCAGAACCGTTGCAGCCTCTATTGGGAAGCAATCTAATTGACCTTAACAGCTTTTAAAGAGTTTTCACAGTTTAGGTTTAACATAAAATCTATATACAAAGTTATTAATAAAGTCTCTAAAGAATTAACGCAAATACAAGGCCTGACGTAAAAGGACATCCGCTGATAACTCTATAAAATATCTATATATAAAAAGCCCTACACAGAACCAGACTTGCATGCGGGCTCTATTTTGAGGTAATATTGATATGCTTCGTAATAAATTATTACATACATATCATCCGCAAATCAGTCATTTGTGAACCGTTGCTACCCCTTTAAATACTCGGCATGAGTTCAAGTCACACTGTGGTACCCTTCTTCTGCTCGACAGCCTCGCTAAAATCCGCTAGAAACGCCCACTTTCCCCTTTCCTTAAGCTCGGTCTCACTCCATGCATTCAAACTTTTCGGAAACATTTCCATCAAACCCAACAAACTTTCATCGTGCGCAATAACCACCAAGATATTCTCATGCGCATCAAACTGCTCCATACCTCTTATGCTCCTCCGCGCCTCATCAATATCATGCGGCAAGCCAGGCGCAATGTCAAAGAATGGCTCCGTGGGGGAAGATGCGGGGTGTATGGCTGTGAATAGAGAACCTAGACACACGCTATGTGGCTGGTGTGGCGTTAGCGGAGAGGGGGAGAAAGACGATGGAAGCGGCAAATAGGGCGTAGGGCGGAATTCGCCGCCATGGTGACAGCAATCACCACCAAGAAAAACAAAGGTGTCGCTCTTCGCTTTAGTGGATAGTGTAGAAGTGGTCCGGCATAGTGCACTCATATGGCCGATGGCATGGCCAGGCGTATCGAGGAGGTAGAAGGAACCGTCCCCAAAAAAGTCATAGGCTAGAAAATTGCCGATACGGAGTTCTGAGGGGAATGATATTTCCCGAAGTTCACGCCCAGCCCAGTCGGACTCGAGAATTGGGGCTTCGGGATTGGTTGGGTATCCAGGAGTCATTTCGGAAGTAAAACCAGGGCCAACAACAAGAGCAGTCGTAGGGGGAAAGGTTGAAACGTCGCCAGTACTTCAGAGATGTCAATACAATTTTACTTTTTCGAAGAGTTGGGGCTATAGTAATACTGCCGTATGACACAGCAAGCTGTCACATTAAAAATGAAGAAAGAAAGTGACTTACTGGTCAAAATGATGGTGGCTCCAAATTACGGCCTCAATATCCTCCGTCCTTAGTCCACGCTCTTCTAGTATCTCTGCAACGTTTTTCTCGACCTTAATACTCCAACCCGCCTTCTTTGCTGTGCCTACGATTATTGGTGCCATATTCTCCCAGTCCTTGCGTACACCGAGATCGAACAAAACCTTCCGGCCAGAAGGATGCTCTATTAGAGTCGAGTAGGCAGGTCCTCCAATACTTTCCTTTCCCTTAAGTGTAGGAGTAAGGAAGTGTGAGAAAGGAAGAGACAGGCGGGCAGTTCTGTCAAAGGTACAAGGTTGCACACCTGTTAATACTAAGGCATTTGAAAAAAACATAATGGATGCAGCGTAAGTAAAAGAGCGACTTACGAATCAATCACTGAAATTTTGACTGTGCTAGACGACTCTGGTATATTGAGCTCTGGAGCTGGTTTAGGTGTAGTTAGGAACTTTGAGGATGACATGATTGGTATAACGCGATTCCGGAACCTCCTAGGAAGAGAGGATTGGTGACAGAAGCGCAAGTGAGTTAAGGTATCTTGTCACGGTGATGTCAGTCCTTGAATTTGAAGAACCAGAATTGTAGAGGAGGATGGCCTGCTATGAGCGACTTGATAATTGATTTTTGTATGCTTGTTGATTGCTTATGGTCTCACTGACAAAAGTCGGCGTATTTCAAGGTTGTTCGGAGTAAGCGTGGAGTTCCACCACTAGTACAAATGTCTCCGAACTCTGGCCGGCAATAAACTTCTCTCATATCGCCTGTGAAGAGCCAATCAAGTCTAGAAGCATATGATTTTCGGTGCTAAGTTCACACGAGCTAATACTTCTATCGCTCCGAGCCAGAATCTCCACACGCTCGACCCCCGCCTTATAGATAACTTCAAGCTGCTAAGTAAAAGCGAAATTGAATTGTCATAGAACCCTAAGTAAGTAATGGCTTCGTTATAAATGCTGTGAAGGTTTGAAAGCTACTCTGCGTATTCCTTCGCGAAATTCCGCAACAGTTTTTTTTAAAGTCTCCTTTGTCTTAAAATGCACTAAGCGAGTCCAGTATATGATATGAAGTATCAACAGGTCAATCGTAGTAGAAGATACAAGTATCCAGGCTTTTTCTGCCCTAGCAGGCAAAATCGACGAATTGATTTTAGTAAACACGCGACCAGGAGACTTAATTGGTCTAGCCCTATCGAACACGCTCTAAGTACAGACGACAATGCTAAATAGCCCGTTCCAGTAGCAAGCCTATTGAGAAAGCAAGGGAGATGTTAGCGCTTCCTTATACACAAATCACTCTAAGCCGTAAGGATGCCAAAATCAGCGATAACATACATGTCCCTCAATTGCACATGGCGGGCCTCTAGGCACTTCTATCCCTCCAGTACCGCAATTAAGCTGCAAACCAGCTAAACTTGTCGGCTCGGTAATCGTACAGATGTTTGTTGCGACATCGCAAGTCCCATTGGCTTGTGTGGATTGGCGGGGGAGGATCGGGTTCGGGGAAGCACACACGCCCAGAAATGGGAGGAAAAATGTTGCTATGATAGAGACGGCGCGCATCTTTCTCTCGGGAATTTGGATGTTTAAAATCTTCGTAATGGCTAGATAATGCTGCAACGTGAAAGCGAGAGGTGGAACCGCGGATGGTAGATAACTACGGGATGGACAATGACTAGTACAAAATCCAATCCAGATGGGCTTGACCTCTCAAGCTAATGCATGGTATCTAGACAAATAAGCATTAGAGAGCACTGTAACTGTAAGCTTGTCGCTTGCTGCAGCAGTTTCTTCCTAGAGGCCCCACATCGGCCAAGTGAGCCTGAAACTATTGAGAGTGTTCATGTCCTAGGTGTATTTAATAGGAAAGTATCTAACGCATAACGTTGAGAAGAGTAATTTATTCTGACACGGTTGCTTATATGCATGTCTCTCGTCTTACAGTGGAATATTGCCTAGAGATTCATAAGCCCGTAATTGACTCGGCGTTCTGATTACTTAACAGTAACCTGAGCCCATTAAACGTACAATCTTGCCTCACCTAATAGTTGTTCTTATAGCTGACGTGAGGTTAGGTTTTTGCTCCGCATCTGTGGTAGACATATCCGCTTGTATGTGAAATTGTGTTAATCGTACCTAATTCAGATACAGACCTCCCGTCCTGTGAATTACACGCTTAAGAAGTGCTTCTGGTCGCTCGGTGGGGTCCGCAGGGAGTTAAAGCAGGGTCGTAAGGAAATATTCACTTAGGATATGTGTAGAAGCACCTTACATGTTTTATTGTAGAGCTCTTTAGATACTTAAACGAGAACATCTTTGAAGATAGTGAAGGAAGCATAAACGGCATGTTGCAAGTCACACAAGTGGCGAATACTTGGAAAAGATGTTGAGGACAGCCATGCTATGGACGCATGTGTAAAATTGAAGAAATGACTGTCTCAAGTAAGCAAATAAATCAAAGGCGATGTTCCGGCGCGCCTGAGCCTGCAGAAGGTTTTGCTTTGATACATCGTCTATAATCATACAGAAATGTACCACATCGCTAAAGAGACATGAAATGTGATATTTACAACAAAGAGTGGAGAGTCGCCAAGTCGGCCTGGCCTGACCATCCTGTCCTAAGCAATTCTGATGCGAACGTGGTACTCTTTTCCAATTGAGAATGAAGGGAAGACCAAAAATGCTCGTAAGTACCCCAACGCCGTGCTAATGCTGTCTGTAAATCGAAAATGCTGAGAGAGAATACTAAGGATACTGGTAGGCTTGGTGTTGATCCGTATTGCACGGATAAACCCCTGGGAACAGCAGGTTGCTGGATAGATCCGATACGCTAGAATTACTGTCCCGGCTACCTGTCTTTATACACCTTGGGCTTCCAGCCTTCGCTCAATTCTTGTTCTCTTGATGCCGCCTCTTCCCCAGTTCGCGCCTCCATCTCTATCCGCTCTCTTGCTCTTAAAATCTTGCTCTGCAAATAGAAGCTTCCGCCCTTCTTAGGGTCATTCAGATCGAACAATTTCTTGAACCTTTCTGTTACAACTTCCATATCCGCTTGGCCTCCCTTCGGTGGCGATACATTCAGTATCTTGCACGCTTCATCTAGCGTCAAGCCGGAAGAGGCGAACGTCTTGCTGGCACCAGGATTTTTGGCGGCGGCGGCGGCATATTTCTGAGACGCGGCAGCTTGCCTGTAAGACTCAGCGAAGGCGCGCCCAAGGATACGAGTGCCGGTAAGGACG